GATTTTTTTTTTTTTGTTTGGTGTAAAAAGGGGGGGGGGGGGGGAGGAATCCTAGAGATCCATCTGCTCTATGCCAAATTATATACTGTAAAGTCTCTTTTCGCTTCCTGTAGAACCTGCGCTAACAGCACGAAAACTGGATGTTATACAAGGAGGGTTTCTTTGGTCCATGAACCTCAAAGCGTTTGGCGGAGGAACTGGTATGCCTTTCCTCCTTCTGCATGTTAAGGAAACAGCCACAAACAGGGAACAACGGGTAGCAGGTAGTGGTTGAAGAGAGTCCAGTGCTTGCTCTGTCTTCCTCACTAGCAATGAGATCTCTTCCACTTAGCAGTCAAATAAGCTGCCTATAAATTATTCGTTTGTCAGCAAGTTGGTCCTTTATCTGATTTGGAGGAGAGATGGCACGGCGTGCAACTCGCAGTTTCCTCTCCGGGAAAGCTGCTTAGGCAAAGCTCTCAGAAAAGCTACTTACTCTGGAGGCCGATATCGCTTAGTCTCAGTGTCCCCTTAAATGGGTTACTGCAATAAAAGCTAGAAACGGTGGTTCAGTATCTTCTTGCTGGACAGTACTGTAAGGGTCCTCACCCTTTGCTGAAAATAGTAATGCATGATAAACCTTCAAAGGCTGTAATCTGTCAACCAGCCAGAACAGTGCAGTTACTCAAGCAGCATCCCAGGACTCCAGAGGGATTTGTGATCCCAAGAGTCAAGGTCTGCTTCCAGCTGTAAGTCTAAAAGAGTTTTCAAGATGCTGTGGGTTTCACCTGGTAAAAGATTGGGCTCTTGTGCAGTTGGCACGATTAATGTTTTGGATGTCATGGAAATGATCGCTGTGATCAAGGTAAGAGGCGAACAGAAGGTAATGATCTGCAAGGAGCCTCACAGCAAATCCAGGTCCTCGGTGAGATGGAGGGAGAGCAGTGGAAGGACGGGGACCGGGTGCAGTGGGAAGTGAGTGCTGACCAGATCCAGTATAGGAAGGGGTAAGGTATAGGAATCCGGTATAGGAATGGGTGTTGAAAAGTGCCTTCCAGAGCGCTGGAGATCCACAGATCCATGAAGCTCTGGAAGCTCTTGGGTCTCTGCCACGCCAGCTGGCACATGAGGCTCATAGCAAGCATACAGAGGGAGAGTTGATCCAGCAGTGATAATGTGGACATTTTGGCAGAAAAAAGGAGAGAAGGAAGAAAGGTATGAGTGTGTTTTTGGTGGTTGTTTTTTCCCCTCCCCCCCCAATAGAGACATGATCAAAGTGGGAGAGTTTGTTCTTCACATGCAGTATAGTAAACTGATCAAAAAGAAATCTTTACACTGTAGCCAGCCCCCAGTTTGGGTAACATTTAGGTGGGTGAGGAGAGATGTGAACCTGCTTCAAAAAGAAAAAAAAGGAAAAGAAAAAAAAAAAAAAAGCAGGCAGCTGAAGGTGAGCATCTGCAGTTACCAAATTTCCATGATGCTGGGATTTCCCCACCACCCCACCCATCGCTGGAGGGAGGTGGCCCAGCTATTATCTCTCCTCCCAGCCACATGCTTTACCACTTAACTCCACAGCAGTTAATGAGATCAGAATGGGGAGAGGCAAAGAAACCTGACTAACAAAGATGTGGGTTTTTTAAATTTATATTTGAGCTGAGTGCCCTCTGTATGACTTGCATGAAGCACGTACTGGTCTCCGTTTCATTAGTAGACCCTGGGGTGCTGAGAGTGTTTCTGTGTGTGGGTTATGCATACAGACAGACTGGTTTTTGTGGGAATGCAACCTGCCTGAATTTGACCCTGCACCTACCATGCAAGTGCATGTGAAAGAAGAGTGCTAGCATGATGGTGGAAAAAAATAGCTGAAAATAAGTGTTAACAGACAGTCTGACTTTGCTAGGGTTTCCCCTGCTCAGCTTCCACTCCTGGTCCTGGCTGCTTCTCCCAGTGCAGTTATGCAAAGTCATTTCTCCTCTTGGCTTTGAACCAGTTTACAGATTGGCTAAATCCTTCTTTTTTACAGATTGAATCATAGGTGAATTTAGATAGTGAAGCGTGTGAGACTCTGCAGGAAGTGGCTGGGATTTTTAGTTATTAGATGAAAAGGCTTCTGGAAATATTTAGTGTTACGGAGGAGGCTACAACCACCAGAAAGAGGAGGCTTTTGAGGGCTGACGCTGTAGCTACCACAGCAGTGGCTCAGACCACCTGCAAAATGCTCTGCTGATTGTAGCATCAAAATTTGGGATCTGGAAAACAAACTCATGTTGGCTTTTAGGGAGACCGCAAAAGAGGGACTGGTAGCTGAGTGCTTTGCTGTGGTCTCACAGCAGAGATGCTTTTCTGCATATGTTGGAAATGGAAGTACTGATATTAATGTGCTGGTGTGCTGTAATAAAATTAAAGGTACCGTTCTTTGAGTAGGTAAGGAAGACAGGAAGGAGTCGTCTTCATTTGTTAGACCTTCCAGAAACAGGAAAATATTTCTCAGTTATTGTTGCTCTCGCTTGTAAACGGGACACTCTCTTCTGATTTCTCTTTTTTTTAAGAACAATCTAGAAATTATTTGGCAGAGCAATTTTTAGATTTTGTGATTTATTTTTTTCTCATTTCAAATCCTGTTGAATTACCAGCTCTGTAATAGACCAGGGGAAGAACCTTATTCCTCTATTTCCAGGATCAAGATTAAATTTAATGCACTTAGAAGAAAAGAACAATTGCTGTCACTTCCAAATGAAATACAGTTATGTGGCTCTTGGCACCTGTAGCGCTTATCGGGGAAAAAAATCTACTGTTGGGCTTTTGCTAATAATCGTGATGGTGCTGAATGACCCAGAAAATGGTCTTGTTTTGTCTCAAGAGCTTCCTCAGATCTGTAGTTTCTTCATGTGATAGCGGTGTAAAAAATGATTCTGACTTTGCACATACAGTAAGATCCTTTCGGTCCTGTTTTTCTCATACTTGTGTGTTGGTAGCATGCCTTCTCGTGACTTTCTGGGAGTTTGATTAAATACAATTGGAATCAAATACACTTTCTCTTCAGTTTTTTTTAAGGGCAACCCTCCCATGACCGTTTCTGGTATCTTGCTGGTTTTGGCCATACGTGGCATCTTTTTTAAGATGGACATTTTTCAATATACTTAATTACCTGTTCCTGTCTCTTCCTGTTTTAATGGAACAAGTGTTTGCTTTCCAGCCATTTAAGGAAGCAATTACCATATTAGTGTCAAAGATGTAGCATGGCAAGCATTTAGAAATCAATATAGTTGTTCTTTAAGAGATCAATTCCTGTGTTAATAGTAAAGGAATGCCCAGAGATTGTCACTGAAATCTGAAGAACTCATCTTTCGCAGTTTTACTCAAGCCTTTGCAATGCGATAGCAACCAGAGGCCAGTCAAATTGGACTCTCATTGTGCCAGGTGCTGTACAAACACAGATTTCTCTGTGGAAGAAACCATTGTGTAAGGAAACATTTTTCTTCTGTGTGAAGTTACATGTGTAAAGTGTTTTGGAGAAAAACAAAACAAATTTTAGTAGAAAATCTTGGAAAGCTGCAAATTGATGAGCTCCCAGTAAAAACCTGTTCTTCTTTGAAGCATTTTTTTAAGTAATCTATCACATTCCAAAACTTTTAATCGCAGTTTTGCTGCGTGAATGTGGGACTATTCTACATTACCTAGTGTGCATCACCATTTCACTGATGTCGGGCTTGGAGTTTTCTGGCTTGGCAGCATTATTTTTTCTTTAAGACTTTAACATTTCTTTCAGTGTAAGTAACTGGAAGTATTTTTATTGCAAACAACTAAAAGCAGAGCCTGTAGGTTTTGGCTAACAATAAAACACGTGAAAAAAACCTTTTTAATACCATCATAACCTTGTCTCCTGTGCCTAAAATACTTTATACAGTTCTTTACATTCCATGTAGACATAGTTTGCTTGTATGTCCTAAGAAAGAGATTTTACTTGAAACTCTTTTGCAGGCCAGCTTCTTCTGAGACACAGATGGACACCAGGGTAACTCCACTATTCTTTGTGCTCACTCCCAGTGTACGCTGGTGCGTGTCAGAGCAGAATTGGGGCCAGCTACTGAGAATGTGGATGTTGCATCGAAGTACAGTTGGGGCAGGGACTTCCTGTCACGGGATCTGCAGAAGAAACATATTCATGCAAATTAAGAAAGCAGGTTGCTATATAAGAGTGGTTTTCTCCCCTGTGTCAGATCTGTTAAGAACCAGCCTAGGCGTATTGTGTGCAAGCTTATGCTACCATGTGAGATGGTTACTACCTTAAGGGTGGCTTCTGAAATTAATGATGCCAGCAAGGGAGAACTTTAGACTCATTTTAGAAACTTTTTATCTGCTGTCTGTCCTCGTAAAACCAGACTGCAGGTAAAGAAGATGCTCCTTTACTTAAAACTAAACCTGATTTGGGGAGGAGCAAACTGACCACTTGTCATGTTTTCTGTTCAGGAAGAGGAAAAAAGGAAGGCAAAGGAAGAAGAGGAGAAGAGAGAGTATGAAGAATACCTGAAGCTGAAGGAGAGTTTTGTAGTTGAAGAGGAAGGGGTTGAAGAATCAATGACAGAGGAAGAGGTATGTATGTTAGGCTGTTACTGCAGTTTCCTTTATCTTTGTTAAACTCAGGTTGCCCTTACTGCATTCTGTCTCATGTAAAATGAACTTGAAAGTAGGAGTCAGCCAAATGGTTTTGCCTGTAAAAACTAAATTGTGTATATGGCACATATTAACCTGGAGTATTTCCTGCGGAATGGTACAGTCCCTCATTCCAGACTCCTACAAGTTAGTTCAGAGTGCTAAGGCAAATGCATATGGCTGGAAATGAGTTCTCCCTTAACGTAAGGACTGAAATAAAACTCATCCTGGAAGTCAGATACTCTTTTACTGTCGTCAGCTTTGCTCTACCCATAACCAGTGGGCCAGATGAAAGCAAGGCTAAATATGGAGTTTGGTAGTGCCCACATATCTTGGGAGGAATTGCTTGGTTTTGGTTTTATTTTCTAGACCAACGGAGCAGCTGCTGTGAAATCAAATGAAAAACCAAGCCCTTGTCTTAAAAGGCTTCTGTTAAGAGAATTCACAGGACGCAGCCTAGGTGTTTGTGGGTTGTACGCTGGAAAACTACATTCAGTGTGGCAAATGATTGCTATGGTTGATAGCATTTCAAACTCTGCACGGCGTTCTAGCATGCTCCTCCTGTGGCTGCCTGCATACGCGCTGCTGGGGATGGTGGTTGAAATGTGAGACTTGACATAATCGCAGCAAACTTGAAAAAGTTCCACTGTTGTGGGAGGCAGTGTTCTTATTCTGTCTGCTGAAAACCTGTTAGACTCATTTTAATTGCTGTCAAACGCTGAAGTTGCTCTTGGGTTGAGGCTGCCAAATTTGAGCTGTCCAATGCATTTAATAAGTATTTTTTTCAGAGCCACGTGTGCATTTGCTCCTCTGCTAAAGCGACCCTGTTGAATTGAATGGATTTGCCCTCAGCATGACTGAGAGTGGCTTTGGGCTGAGGAGCTGGTAGTGAGACAGTACCGCTTCACATTAGTCACAAGTTCTCACTACGGACCCCTTCCCATTGAGATAAATTCTTCCGTCGTGCCAGTGTTAACACCAAGAGAAGTTGTAGCTGGTGATGGGGAATTTCCTAAGATGCAGAGAACAGCGAAATGCATACTTTCTGTCGAAAGTTTGTTCAAAAATGTGTGCCTGTTCTGTTAGAAGACCAGATTGTAGCTAAATATTAAATTGTTCCACTTTAGATACCCTTTAAAGCTAGAATGTGTTCATTGTCTGTGTTTCTACAGCTGCCCATCAAGGAGAAATTAGTCTTTCTGTATGTGGGAACAGAGAAGGGTGTTCCTCACTCAAAAGAGCTTGGCAGGCAGTTGATGATGCCTGGATCTCAACATCTTTGGTAGGAGTGGGGAGGTAGTGATTTGAAAGTCATCTTCAGAAACAAGCACAGGTGCGTAGCTATTTGGAGACGCCAGCCTTGCGGAGATGGCAAGCCACCCTTCTGCCCTGTGGTGGATAACCTCCTGAAGCAGTTTGGTATCCTGTTACAGTAGGTGACTGCCGCGTGTTGTTGAGGCTAGCGTGCTGAAACTCATGCTGAAAATTAAGGTCCTGAGTCCAGAGCTAAGCAGTTAATTAAGGCTGATTGATTTCCAGGGTTGCAGAGTAACTTGATCTCCTGTTAACTTAAATGCGCATTGTTTGCATTGCCTTTGAAAACTGAGCCGCTTATATTAAAATGCCGGATTTCAGGTGCATAGCTTTGAAAACGGCTTGAGCTTCCACATGTGTTGCGCAGCTGCGTGCCACACTTGACCATCTGTGTGAGCTGTCTCCTGAATCACTTTATACTTTACCTCTGTACAAAACATCCTCAGTGTGTATATGTAACTTAATACACAAGGCACAAACTCACCCAGATGTGGTTATTTCAGGGTATGTATGAGGTGAAGAATAAAAGATTCAAACATTTCCTTTCAGAAAACACTTAAACGCAAATTGTACTTGAGCCATATTCTGTCTTAGAAAATACCTACCATAAATTCCTAGTTAAGATTAAATCTAGATATATTTTTTTTTTCCAGTTCAAAATCTCCCTCAGTGTGTATGTTTAAAACTTTGGAAGTATGCAAGCTTTTATAATGTTTGTTCTCAGCAAGTTTGCGATGCATTTAAAGTTCATGAGTTTAAAATAACGGTTGTTTTCCTTGCTGTATCCAGTCTCGCAGCTTCCTAATGGAATTTCTCGAATACGTTAAGGTAAGCTACCAATGGTCTTTCTCCTCCTTCCATACTTGTTAGATTGTGTAAAATATCTTTGTCAAAGAGCTGAGTTGCAGAAAGAAGGGAAATCTCTAATTCCTCTTTGATTTACTTAAATATTCAACAAGTAACAAAAGTGATACCTTAGATAAAGTCTGCATTATTTACTTAACCATGCATGAGCATGTCCAGCATTGTTAAAATGGTTTGTATTTACAGGCGTGTTGGCTTTTTGGGGCAGGATTGTAGCTCTTGCCCTCTTTCATAAGGACAGGCGTGTTAAACTCTGCACCTGGTGGATCACCTCAGAGTTTATGAACAGCAGTGTTTGCTGCTGATTGGGATTTGGGGCATTCAGGCTTTTTGTGTGTGGCCATCGGCTACTGATTTAGAAAACAGTCCCTACACCTCAGCTCAGCATGGGCGAGGCGTGCTGTGCCAGCGTGTGGCCTGCCGTGCAGGATGCGTTTGTGTCTGAAACACTGGCAGTGTAAGGGTCAATCCGGCTTTTCATGCGATTTTCTTTTCTTGGTTTTATCCGTGCAATTTGCAACGTTGTCTTAATGTTTGGAAGGGACATTTAAAGAGAAGATTGCTTGTTTTTAACAGGGTGTGTTAGTCTCCCTTTCATCATATTGTATGGTTGGTTACTTAAAACCTGTGGTGTGTTCATGAGGATTTCCACTTTTGATCTGTAAGGACAAATGCTTCTTTCTCCACTATCGGTATATCAAAGATCAAATGCATTTTTCTACTCTTGCTCTAACAATGTTATGCAAATCTTTTGTCCTAATGAATCCCGTTTCTCCTTCACTGGAAACTGGACTCTTATTGGAGAATGTATGGCATGTGTGTGAAAGGCTTCATTAGTAAGCAAATCACTTGTACACTCAGTGAAGTCCTAATCATTGTGTTCATCCAGAACTTTGCACTCTGGGCCAGTTTTGCATGTCCGTTACCCCAGCAAAAACCCAGAGTTGCAAACACATTTGTCTCATGGGTAACTCTCCTCACGAAGTTAATTCGAGCGATTGCCGTGCAAGTCAGAACAACGGCTCGATCGTTGTAGAGTCGCTGCAACGCTGCGGTGCAAGCATCTTTTGCTGCCCTGCTCTCTGCCTCCTGCGTCACTGCCACTTCTGGTGGCGTATCCCGTTGCCATCAGACCACAGCGAGAGAGGCTGCTAGGTTTGCATCTGCCAAGTGCTTTCGGATCAGCGGGATCTCTGGGGGGAGTTTGGAAGTGTCTAAGCTAGGAGCACTCGGAGTTAGGACTTGGCTTCATTGCTGCAGTCCCTGCTCCGTAACCAAGTCCCCAGCGTAAGCCAGTCAGCTCTGAGCAGAAGCGCTGCCGAAAGCGGATGAGACAGCTGAGAATAGACTGGAAAAGCTATGGGTGACATGTTTAAAGAGCCTAAGTAAAACCATGGAGCGATGATGGCACGTTTCATTTTGCAGCCATGCAGCGATTTTGATATTCTGTTCTCCACAGAAGCCGGAGAGCTTTCTTTGAACGGGAGGGGAACTTTGAAATGTCCATGTCTGTTAAGACCACTCTCCATTTCAATTACTAATTGTGGAAATGGCCTACGTGGTACAGTGTGATCCCAGTTCACCCATTCCCATCTAAGGCTTTCAAGATACTGCCAAGCTGTGCATGAAGGAAAAAGTGCTGTTCTTTATTGATCCACATGCTGCCCTAGGATAACAGTAGGTAGAACAATAGGATATTTCAATGTCCCTTGGGATCTTCCACTAAAGCTGGGAGGGTTTCCAAGGGATAACGCAGTAGGGTCTGATTCTGCACGTTGCCCTGGTGGTTGTGATGGATGGAACAGATTAGTCACAAACTCTCAGTTCAGTGTTTAAGCGTGTACATATAGTTTTATATTAGTCACTTCTACTTGACGTCAGAGAAATTAAGCACGGGCTGAAAACCTAATTCAGAAGCGCTTCGACACCTGACTTCCTATGTAGAGATGAGTTGCAGAACTGGGGCAGTGCTTTCTTTTACAAGTTTTAGTATTTTTTTTTTTAAATCTTGAAAGTATGCTTAATATATAGGTTATGTATAGCCCTTATCTTCTGTTCTAGTCACAGAAACCATTGACTTATATCAAGAAGCAGTGCTAAGCTGCTAGTAGCTGTCTGAAAAACTTACAAATTAAAAGAGCGATTGGCATTCTAAAACATAAAATTTAATTTAGGTGAATAACTTATTTTACTGATATAACTGGCTGGAGGTAGCTCACGCCACGCTTTGTTCCTAAGGGTGTTTGAAATAAAATGCAGCCTCTTTTCTCCAGCTCTGCCTTGTGGGATTGTTCTAAATGTTTTGTTGGGTTTTTTTTCCTCAAAGGCAGCAAAGGGATCGACACCCCTCAATTCTGCTTTTCTGAAAGCTGAGCATCTCCCTTCCTTTGGGGCTTTCACAGTAGCCCCTCAGCCTCAGTCTGTCTGCTGCAATATCACCACCTCACATAGAATCATTAAGGTTGGAAAAGACCCTTAAGATCATCGAGTCCAACCGTTCACCCAGCACTGCCAAGGCCACCACTAAACCATGTCCTCGAGCACCACGTCTACCCGGCTTTTAAATCCCTCCAGGGATGGGGACTCCACCACTGCCCTGGGCAGCCTGGGCCAGGGCCTGACAGCCCTTTCAGGGAAGAAGTTTTTCCTAATATCCAACCCAAACCTGCCCTGGCGCAGCTTGAGGCCGTTCCCTCTCGTCCCATCGCTTGTTCCTGGGGAGCAGAGACCGACCCCCCCGGCTCCAGCCTCCTTTCAGGCAGTTGCCGAGAGCGATGAGGGCTCCCCTCAGCCTCCTCCAAACTAAACTAAACCAAACCCTCACACCTCAGGCTGCGGCGTTGCCTCTGCTGCAGTCATCATCCCGTGCCTTCGCTTCTTGCAGCGGTCAGTCCTCAGGTCACGGACGTGACCGCTCTGCTCTCAGAGGAGCAGAATAACCAGTTCTTAATGGGAGCCTTATGGTTTTACTCAGCAGGGCTGTAGCTGCACAACTCGCTTTACAAACCAGCTCTGTGGGCTCTCTGAGCACTTAAAAAAATTAATAATGAAGTGGGCAGAGGTTACAGAGTGGCTGAGCAGTTCCCTTGCTGTGGAGCACTGGCTCTGTTGGCCCAGGGAAATACGAGCCTGCTGTTTGTCCATCAAACTGTTCTCACCCGGCTTGACAGTGTATCTTTGAATGCATCTGAATTGCAGCCAGTGAACTGAAACAGCAAACTACATTTGAAAGGGATAGCGAAGGACTTGGAGGCTTTACCCCTTCTTTTTTTTCTTTTCCAGAAAAATGATGCTTACAAGATAAGGGGAAAAAAAAAAAAAAATCCTACTTGTCTTAATCCTGAGAGCTCTTGCTCTGTTTCATCCCTTGCTGAGGACAGCAGCAGAATCATACCTAAAATTGAATGAATTCAGTAAAATGTGGATGTGCATATGTTGCTCTATGAAAGTTAAGCCTGTCTCTAAAATGTGAAGCATGCGGTGAAGTGTTTTGTTCGCTTGGGACCTCACAATGTCGTTATATTTGAGTGTGTGCGGGGAGTGCATCCTAATCACCCCCCAGCCTCTGGGCTCTTGTTCACAGCAGGATCTATCTTGGAAAGCTTCCACTAACTAAACTTGGTCATTGAGAGTGAATATCTTTAAGTGAAGGTTTAAATCCTGTTTTTCTTTTTTTATGTGGCTTTGCACACACCCCACACCCCCCCCAATCCTTTTAAAAGAAGATGTGACGAATCTTGGCAGTTCCCAGCTCTGAGAACTGAATTCCATGGACTGGTTCCAATTCCATGCGTTCAGTCCATGGTATTCAGTTCTCTAGCTTGGCTGCATCAAACTTCACAACTACTAAGTCCGTGTGTGGCTTTTTTTGTCTGATTTTTGTTAATGGAAAAGATTCACCTATTTCAGCCTGCCTTTATTTCTTCAGTGTCCTTCCAGCGTACTTTCAAGATCAGAAACAAATGGGTTTATCGTTTGAAGTATTGCATCTGATAATGTAAATGTAGCTCTTGCGGCCGTACATATATGGCTCTTAGGAATGTAGTCCAGAATGTTGTGAACAGTTTTCCAAAGTTTTATATTTTCCAAATTCCTTGTAAACAGTGCATCCTTCTACTGCATCTAAACAGATGAGTTTCTAAAACTTTTGCAGATAAGAAAACAGGAACCAAGTAGCTCCAGATGAGCGCACCAGGTGTTTTCTCTGTAATTCTCTGGAGCTACAGAGAAGCATAAAACCAGATGTGAGCAGCGATGACTGCGTCCTGACTGAGAAAGGCTGCTGTAAGAATCTCTTTCAAAAGCAAACTGAAAATTTGCAGTTCCTGCTTCTGCCTTCGTTCTCAGAGATCATCGCGCTGCCTGCGCAGGAGTGCGCTAGCAGTACACTGACAATTTTAATAAGGTGTTCACTTGCTTAGGACGATTATTATGGCATTAATATGACGTGAGGAAAACAGACTAAAGCACTTAATGCTGCTGGTCTTGTCTGGATTTTTCTGTATGCGCTGGTACATACCAGTGATCATTTTAAAATGTGCTTTGAAGCATCTCTCAAACAAAAAGGGACCTTGCTAAAGCATACTGGAAATTAAAGGCAGCAGTTGAGAAACTCAGGTGGCAGGGAGAGCAAGCCATGGCTGTTTATTGTGCTTGTGCTCATCCTGTCCTCCTAACATAAGGAAAGGTTCAGAATGAACGCTGGCAAATGTATTTGAGTCTTCGCTGAAGTGGGTCAGAGCATCCAGTCTTTCCACAGAGCAGAGTGGTTTAAGTCACCTGAATTAGAGTTTTTTCGTCAGAGAAAAGTGCTTACTAGGAAAGGTTAGTTAGAATGGCAGATTCTACTTTGTCTGTTCAATAAATGTTTTATTTGAAAGAAAGAAATATGCTAACCCTCTGATTCATCCGCTGCATTTAACTCTTGTTTGTTTCCATAGAAAACAAAGGTAATCCAGCTGGAGGACTTGGCTTCACATTTGGGCCTAAGAACCCAGGTAAGTACTGCCTTTTGAGGCGCAAGTGCAAGCGAAGAGTTTAAAAGGACGGGAGAGAAAGTTGGTAAATAAGGGTAACATATATGCAAGTGTCTCAGCATTACTGAAAATGCCTGGATTTTGGTGAAGTTCAGCAAAATCAGCCCTAAAAATGTGGCCGTTCATCAAAGTACCATCCAGCTGGTGAAGGATTGTTGGCTTACAAGATTGTTTCAGTGAAAAGTGCTTGGTCTGCCTCTTGCACAGCTGCCTGTTGGCTAATGGATCCTATAGTGTTTGCAAATCTAGCAGTAGAGCAATTCAGGGTACTTGAGAATCAAAAGCAGAGCTAGAAGCAAATTCAGACACTGCCTGCATAATTGGACAGTGTTGTTGTGTTTGCAGACAATCAATAGATGAGGTGTTTTGCTCCAATTGCTTGTGTATTCTTAGAACATTTAAGAACTCTAGAGTAGAATAGACTATGTCAGTAGGAAGGGACCTACGACCATCTCGTCCAGCTGCCTGACCCCTTCAGGGCTGACCAAGAGTTAAACCATGTTATCGAGGGCATTGACCAAATGCCTCTTAAACACTGACAGGCTTGGGGCATCGACCGCCTCTCTAGGAAGCCTGTTCCAGTGTTTGACCACCCTAATTTGTATCTTCTGGTGCATTACTTAAGAATATTGTCCCTCTCAGCACCATATAAGCCTGTCAAAGTAAGCTCATGGTGTGATATCTGTCTTTTTTTTTTTCCTCCTCTGTCCTCTTTCTGTTCTCTAAACATTTTGTTTTGACTCTGAAGAATAGTTGTGGCTTTTTTTATTTTAATTTGAGCACATTTGACATCTGTTTCTAAATGACCAATGTTTTCTATTGTTCTGTGCCTCATCTGATCTTGGGGTGCCCCTTCACAGCAGCTTCCACTGCTGTAAGCCCAGGCTGCTGTGCCCCTGCCTCGCTCTTACACCAGAACTTCATTTAAGCATGCAGGGAGCCAGTTAAGGGAATTCATCTGGTTGAAATCTAAGTTATAACTTGCTTCTGCAGTCCCATAAAGGCGAGAAAGGGAGAGAGGCAGAACTGTGGAAAACAGGGCTTAGATACTAGCTTACGGTGTAGTGGAAATGCATGCTTGGAGTAACTATAGAGTTAACCCAGCAATAAGTGCAACAAGTTGTTCTTTGGATTGGTAACAGAGGTTTTCTCTTAAATGGAGGAGGAAAAAAATAGAAAAAGCTCTGGAATGTATTAAGTGTAGCCAGGTTCTTGGAGGAGTACCTCGGTGTACTTCACTGCGTGTTGCGTTGGCACTATACAGCCTTTCCCTGGGAAGATGTGTGTAACCACCCCCCTTCCATAAAACCGACAGCTAACTTAGCGATTAAAGGCTCTGTGGGGGATAGGGAAGTTATTTGGACGCCCCAAAATGCAGAAGCTCACTTCATCCTTCTAAGACCAAAGGGCTTACTGCAGCTGTCTGTGTGGAAATACTGATGTGTATCCTTCAGTGAAGTCTTGAATGCTGAGGAATTAAACATAAGCCTCCATCTGTAGTTTATCTGAACATGTGAAACGTTTTTTTGCCTTCCTCTTGATCAGTTTGTTATTCCTTTTTCCCTTCTGAACAGGATGCAATTAACAGAATCCAGGACCTGATGGCAGATGGCACTCTAACAGGTGACAGCCAAAACACAAAGGGGACTTTATTTTAGCTGGTGAATAGGTGGTGCAGAAAATGCCTTAACTGTCGTAGAGAAGGCTGCCAGTGTCGTTTCTGTTTTAAACTGTAGAAGATCCTAGTAGGACTTGATAAATAGATATTTTTATTATCCCTGCTTAGCTGCCATGAAACTAGGGCGTAAAGCACTATGGGATGTGATTGCTCCTATGATACGTTATACAGAGGTGGGGGGTGAATGTCCCCAACAGCTCAGGAACCAGCACAAGGTTCTCCCTGTTGATTGAGCCCTGCCGAAGGCCTTCAGGGGTTGCTGAGCAGCCAGCTGCAAATGATGTCTTCCGAAATCTGAATTTGAAGCTCAGTGGGATGTTTTGGGGTAGTTTGCAAGCCTGTTTTAAAGGTGCTGTGGCTAAAGCCAGTACCGGGGCACGGCACGCTGTGGGAGAAGCAAACAGCCAGAGCACTCCAGGATGCTGTAGGAAGTGAAGTGCTTGTTCCGAGCCGTGTACTCACGCGATCAAAGTTGGAATGTAAGCAGAGACTGAGCATGTGGGCAGCTCCCTGTCTGAACACGTCTGGTTTACTGCTGGGCAGTCTTTTTCTTTCCGAGGATGAAGGAGGGGAAGGTGCCAATGCAAACATTTACTGACTTGATATTGTGGTCATGGCTGGGAAACAACTGTCTTGGTGGGTACATGTAGATACCCATCTGAGGGACCTAAAAGCGCTCTGAATCAAAGCGTAAGGATGTGTACTGTCCTGGCTGTGTCTGTGGCCTAAAAGGCGTGCCAGTGAGGCGCTCTGCCTTGCATTCGGTCCTGTAATGTGTTAAGAACAGAGGTCTATTCTCACTCTTGATGGAGCAACCAAAATTTGGAAATTGAGCTTCATTCACTGTTAGAGGGTACGTTGGAATGGCTGAGCTGGGCCCCGCGGGGTCTCTCACCTCCTGGGCCCTCCTGCCGCTCTGCCTTTCTCTGCCAGCTGCCTGGGCCCGGAACATCAGCCCCAAAACTATACACCTGAAGTAGCTGCTGTGGTACTGCCGGCTCGCTGCGTACATTGAAAAGAATGTGTTACTTTGCTACAAAATTGTCTTACCAAGGCACTCGGGTATTGTCATAGCCCTGCTCAAAGACCCAAGAGTAGAGAGGAGATAAAAGCCTGACTGCTGGCACGTTGTTCTGCCTGCCCTAGATATGAAATGCAGCCTCAGCAGGTTGAACGTCCCTTCCAAGAGAAGTGACTGATGTCTGTCGGGAAGTGAGAGGAGCCAAAGTGCTGACTTCAAGGTCCTTTCTTTCCCCCCCGTAGGTGTGATTGATGACAGAGGAAAGTTCATCTACATCACTCCAGAGGAGATGGCTGCCGTGGCTCAGTACATCAAACAGAGAGGACGAGTCTCCATCGCAGAGCTGGCCCAAGCAAGCAATTCCCTGATCAACCTCCAGCCTGACAGCCGAGCTGTTGCTCCAACTGTGGCGTGAGAAAAATACAGCAGGAGTTTAACCTTTTAACGAATAAGCCACGTAATTAAAAACAAACAAGAACCCCTCTAGTCCATTCACGGTGCTTGAAGATAGGATGCTCATTTTAAGCGTCAGCTGCAAGACTTGATCAAAAGTTTTGCTTTTTGTTTTTTTATAGAGCTGGTATAAAATAGGCCAGTTGTTTGTACACCAGAGGCTGGCCAAGAACCTGGGGCTAAAACACTCTGATGCACCTGCACCCCAGAAATACCAGTAATTTTTACATGGTTACTTTATCTTGGCAGCCAGTCTCGTGTGACTATACCCAGACTTTTTATTGTTTCCAGATTCTGATGTCTGTATCAAATATATTTGGGTTTGATTGCTTTCAGAATTCTCCAGGCTTGCTCTGCACTTACAGAGCTCCGTAACTTTGTGGCAATGACATGTACAGCCCAGAAGAGTAGGTGTGTAGGGGTGAGGTTTGCAAAATTTGTCTTCTGTAGCACCATTGGAAGGATAGAGTAAAAAAAATACTGCAAGCGTGTCTCTGTTCTTACTGAAATATATACTGAAACTCTAGAAAGAGCGCTTGCTACGTTGTGAGAACTTCCAGAGGTTATTTCAGAAAACCTTTGCTATAGAAATACGTTTTGCTTGGTTTCTATCATGTAAAAAGTTTACTCGAAGCCAAGCTGCGTTATTTTTCTGTAGCCAAGAGACAGAAACACCTCTGGGGAAAGGCTAACTCGCCTCATTTATTGTGCAGGCCAATTCTACTGATAGCAACCGGATTCTGATGATTCATCCTTTGAAGTAAGAGCCAGCTCAGTGTGTCTGAAGGCCTCGGACACCCCCGCCCCATGGCCTTTGTGTTCTGGATGGTTTGGGTTTTTTGAAAATAAAAAATTCAGGCAGTATGAGTCATGCAATTGATGTTACAAGTAAATGATTATTAATACATTAATTGTAGGGGTCAGTAGATTTCCTGCATAAGAATATTTATTTTTTTAATAGCCTAATTGACGCTTTGTTAATTCTCCTTTCTGAAATCAACAGAATCTATGTGGATATAGGGTAATTGGGGAGGGCAGGAGGGGCTGGGTTCATCTCTGCCCAACTCAGAGGTAACTTGAGAAGGCTAAAAGCTGCGTTATCAGTGAGATGAGATAGCAATAAAACAATGGAAGGCAGCATCTTTTCTTTTTAATCTCTGTGCTGCTGCGGAGGGTGACACTCTGCAGGCGTGCCGACTTCCAGCGCAGCACCCCACGGGGATGGGAACGGTCGGTACGTCGTTACCGTGTGCCACAACGATAACCAGCAAAAAGATGACTTGAGATCGAGGCTTGTAAAAGTCTCTTAACAATTCAAAATTTGATTTTGCCATGATTTTTTTTGTTCTGTCCTGAACTATTCTTTTAATAAAATAAACAATATTGAAAGAATTGCAGATAGTTATGTGAGATCTCTTTTTTTTTAACGTGTTAAAGGATCTTATGAGATAAAGCAGCCAGCCAGCAATGCCATAGGCTCCAGCGCGCCAGCCAAAGACCAGAGGTATTCCATGAAATCATTTTCTGTGAACGTAACAAATAACACCACATCCACTGTGCAGTTTCTGTATCTTAGCTCGGACAAGATTTATGTCGTGAAACGGTCTGAATTATCTCTGTATGACGTTGGAGTTTCACGGGGCTGTGCCAGAGCCAAAAGGGTTGTTGGTGATTCACTGACAGGTCCCAGAAAGGCTGATGAAAAGCTGCGTTTAAAGGAGGTGCTAGGCAGAAGAACGTGACAGCAAAGTATTTATTGTGAGCCAGATTCATGGGCCATGGAAGGCTCTAACAGGCACCTGAGAAGTGCTACTGCCGAAGCTCTGGTTGGGGCTCCGGCGTGTTTCCACAGCCAGTGAAGCGCGTGAGGCAGCCAGCGTGTGAGACCCAGGTCACCGAAGAAATGTGGTAGATGGTTCTGCATGTTTGTCCTTGTGGGAGCCTAGATTTAACCCATGGGTCCCTCCCAGCGCTGAGCTCATCCCTAATGCAAGCGCTTGGGGGGTCTACGCTTGCTTTTATCCATGATTCCCTACCAGGGATTCCCAATATTGCATTTTGGACCTGACCCTGGCTGCGCTGTTCCTAAAGTTCTGGAGTTATTGTATGGAAACTGGAGCACAGGTCTGGCGATGGTCTTCGGAAGAGATAACCTCGTCTGGCTTGACCGTGGTGTGGTCTCGGGGGCAACATCAGGCAGGACAAGGTATGACCGTGCAGCGGGGCCGGCGGCTGGTCCGTCTGCTGTCATCCTCCTCCACCACCTCCCTTCCTGCTCTTTGCACCCAGCTGCGTCGTATCCGCGTTCAGGAAAACTCGTTTCACTCGGTTTTGGGTGCACGGGATCTTCGCTGTGTGTGAACTGAGAGGCCAGCCACTCGTACGCGCTACATAAAAAATACAGGGGGAAAAACACAGATAACAGAACGCTCCTAACTCTTATGCAAAGGAAACTGCTCTGCTTCGAAGAAGTTGTTTGGCTTGGTCGGGATTTCTAGATCGCTGCAGAGCCTGAGGTGTCGGTGCTCTGACCCACAGGTCCCGTTCAGCCCCGTGCCTGGGGGAGCGGCCACCACTACTAAATGGTAACTGATTTTTCTGTTAAAAGAGTGTTATGGGTTTTTTTGGGAATTGACTTATGGAGTCCAAGATGATGGTTTAAAACCTTGAAAGCAATTACTTGAGGCCACTTGTTTGGATGGTTTATGAATGAGGCAATTCAAACCTGTGCTGCTTCTCAAATCGGTGTTCGTGGTCTTTTCTGTGGAGGAGGAAGAAATTAAGGGCTACGCCCCCAAAAGGCTTTCACTGACAGAATTCATAAATCGTGTGATTTCATACATCCCATCTTGTCCCCTTCCAAGGGGAAGGTGTTTATCGCCCCTGGCACTAAATTAGGGGACGCCCCCGGGTGTCGTGGCCGGGGGAGGAGGTGGGAAGGGAAGGGTCCCTCTCTCCTCTCCTCCTCCCTTGGTGCTTACGACTGGCCCTGACCCCCTGTTGCAGGCAACCAGCGTCCTGCGGGACGATGCCAGATTTGCCTGGCTCTCCCAGAGCCCCGATCATCCCCACGTGCTTACGGAAAATTTTACAGAGTCAAGTGCAAAACCCAGCCATCATAGAATCACAGAATCGTTAAGGTTGGAAAAGACCCTTAAGGTCATCAAGTCCAACCGTTAACCCAGCACTGCCAAGGCCACCACTAAACCATGTC